TACTTCCTGTCAAGCAAGACGAGAGAAACCCCACAGAAGCAGCGCAGGAGGCAGCATGATCTTCCCTACTATTTTTTCTTTTCAAATTTCTCTGCTTTCCAGCGTATCAAGCAGAAGCTGCAGTGTGCCAACACAGCACTTCTGTTTCAGCCACCTCCTTTCCCCCTACGCACCCCTGCTAAGTCCCTCAGAGGGCAGCTGCAGGCTTCCTTCTCCCTTGCACAGGTTTGGTTCTCGTCCCAAGTTCTCCCCTACCAGCGATCCTTGCCCCCTCCCCTGCGTTGTTAACGTTTCCCGTTGCTTACTGTTAAAGCTGCCTGCTTCTCCATTGCCTAAGATCCACAACTAATCCAAGTGTCTGGCTGCAGGGGTTAAAAGCCAGCCAGAAGTTTGGCATTTTGTAAGTAAATTAAAATTAAGGGGAGAAAAGGACAATTACTAGTTTACTTGATGGAGCTGCCCAGATCTCAGATGCATGGGGAAAAATCTTTATGGGGATGAAAGAGAAGATGAACATTTATACTAAGAATACACTATTTTATTCACTAACACAGAAGATACTAGTGCTGATGCAAACCCTCCTTGCCGTACTGGGAAGGAAACTTCTAGGGACAACACTGAGTTTAACAGCAGAGATCTGGGGGTCTGCTTCAGTATTAGATACATCAGTTCTGGAACAACTCCAGTGAAAAAAAGAACTTCAAATAGGTTAAAAAACAGGAAAAAAAACCCCAACAGCAAGTGCTTTTAACGATGGGATACTAAACAATCAGTGGCCCTCCATGACGTCCATGATCATTTACATTTTTATACAAATTTGAATACTTTTATTTATCTTAGAAAACTATTGTTTGGTCATTTTTTTACTTGTGTCTGCTTTTGTTTTCCATTTATGACTTCGGTCCTTCAACAAAAGCCACAAGTTTTGCAATAAATATACCATTCTGTTTCTGGTCTTTCTAGCTCCTTTCTGGTGAGCCAGTCTGTTTTCTTTATGTTTTTGTTTTTTTTTTTCAAGAACTAAGGCTCAGGAAATTCTCACATGATGTGCATCTCAAGGGAAGGGGCATCTCTGTTTATCCACAGGATGGAAACTGTTTAGCCTTTGTGGCTTCTGAAAGATGTTTGTAGACAAAATGGAGCTCAAAATACAGCCTAATCCACGGTGAAATATTAGTTCTCCTTTCCTGTCAACTTTTCTAAACCAAGATTTTGCCTCGTCTGTGAACATTCCCTTGAAGAGGGCAGCTTGGATGGCTTCCATGTCCTTACTCTTTGATTTGTGGCAGCTAAGATCGAGTGGGAATAGAGCTTGTTACAGTAATCCATCAGTGGTATAACACATACAGGAACATCCCAAGGAGGGAGACCTTGGGCGTCATGGGGAAGGTTAAGGCTATAATTTCTCTTAATGTGATTTTGTCTGGTCTTTTCAGAGTTTCGTCCGCATTGGGCAGGGTCACTAGATCAGCAAACCACAGACTGAAAGACTGTGCTCAATTTTGCATGCTCTTAGACCTAAAAATTTTTTAAAAGTGACACCACTGGGTTAAGCCATCTTCTACTTTCTAAAAGTGAAAAACAGAAGATTCATTTGACAGTACACCGTACATGGTGGTGTGGACTTTGGAAAACAAGGGCTCTTCTCTTTGATGGAAATTTTCATTTTAGTGTTCTAAAAAAAGTGACATAACTTCTTAACAAAGAGAAGAAGCGCAAAATGAGAAATCTGTATACCTAAGTGTTAAGAGATGAAGAATCACTCAAAGAAAATAAAAACATAAACAAAATTAAAACCTTCCAAACATGAGAAACAAACCTCAGTGAATGCAATAAAACAGCCTAAACACAGGCTGTACAAGAGGAAAATTAGGAGAACAGAGATGGGATCCAAAGAGCAAATATCTAAGGATATAAACCAAAACCCACAAATTCCTTTATGGTATCCAAAAAAATAAAAATATGTAGGAGATCCAGGATCAGTGGGGATGAAAGAAACAGAGGAAGACAAAAGTTATGGGAAGGAAGCAACATGACTTCTTTTCTTCTAGCTTCACCACAGAGGATGTTGGATGTTGGGGAGAAACATATTCTGGTACCTGCTTTTATTTTTCTGCATTTTATCCTTTAATGGACGTGAACTAACAGCAAGGTTCAAACAATTGCTAGCAGAAAGAAATGTGTTGGAGGAGGATGACAGCTTACAAAGCAGTAAACAAGCAGAAGACACGAATTCCAACAGCAATTAAAAGAAAGAAATTGAGCCACTGGCTAAAATGAGTACACTTTCGCTACACTTAGTAACTTTAAGAATCAGAGGATAGTGAAAGTTTCACCTGTCTTTACAAAAGCAGCAAGATTGATCCAGGAGACCGTAGAGCTCCAAGCTTTATTGCTATACCTGGTAATCTGGCTGAAAGGATGAATAACAGGAAATTAAATACATCAAAATAATCATTAGATTCTGGATATGTTTATAAAATAGTGGACAGATAAGAGCAAGTAAAGAAAAGCAGACTTTCAAAATCTTTACAAGACCCTCATGGGAGGCCACCTATGAAGTGTGAGGTTAAAAGAGCAAAAGAAAAGAAGGAAGGAACACATACTGATTCTCATCTGATGACAGGGTTAACAGCAGGTGTCTCACAGTTTGTACGTTCTATTTCAAAATTGTCTCGAAACAAGGAAGCACACTAAGAGGGTAAAAACTACAGATGGCAAGAAATTGTTCAGATTAGTCCTGATTTAAGATTATTAGGGGTTTGAGAGATAAGCAGTAAATCCGCTTCAGCAGATGACGGTCGCTACTGTAGATGAAGTGCAGACTGCAGGCAGTACCTTTGTGCATCGGGCTGAGTTCTGCAGTGCCCCATCAGCTCAGGAGACTGCCTGGATGTCCTTGTGAACTGCCCAAAGATAACTGGTCTTAAAAGCATAGCAACAGTCAAATACAACAAAGAAAACCTCAAGACATCTATCAAAAGATAGCAAAAGCAGAACGGACAAGCATAGTAAACCTATAACATTTATAAGGAGGGTCTGGATTACTGTGTTTGCTATTGTTTAGCCCATTTTAAAAGGTAAGATGGAGAAAAAGTATGGAATTGGTCTCACAAAAAAGATGTAGAAGGATTATTTGAGACTCAGACAAGGATCTTGGCAGCCTAGTTTAATTAGGTCATGCACTGAAAAGGGTGATGGACCAGATGACCATCAGAGGTCCTTTCCAATCTAAGTTATTATATGAAATAGAGAGATTAAAAAAGCTTCAACTGTTCAATATACGGAGACAGTAAATCCTGAAATTAGCAAATTCAACAGCAGCCAAAATTAGATTATGAATTCATTGTCACAAGAAATGTACTAGGAGCCAAAATAAGATTTGATTTTTAGAGTTTTTTAAAAATTGCATTAGGCAGGGTTTCCCCCTCCACCCAAAAAAAACCAAACAAGGTGGCTTTTGGAGAAGAAATCATTCCTCCATTCATGCTTATAATGAGTATTATGACTCATGAAACAAAAATTTTCTAGGAGAGATCTTCTTCCTCCTTCGAAGCTTCTTGTGCTTTCCTCTCAAGCAGCTGGTATTGCCACTGTCTGAATCAAGACACTGGACTAGATGGATACTAGTATTATCTGCTGTAATTATTTCAACTTTTACAGGACACATCACTCCAAACCAGAATTTTCATGTTTGTTATCTCCTGATGATATTCTGTCATGTTTACTCCATTAATCAAGTAATGTACTGTTTTTAAGGGTCACCCACGAAACCTCACACTCTGAGAGCTCCAAGTGAGGTTTCAGTGTTTCTATCATGCCTAATAGCAGCAGTAATAAATAATCTAAGTACCAAACCAAGACATTGACCAGACCTATGCATTGGCCAAGGGATTATCACTTTTTAAAAAGAGGTGCTGCTACAAGTTTCTTTTATTTCTATTTCTCTTCCTTAACTCCTAATCATCAAAATTATTGTCAGGAGGAGCACAGAAAAGGAGTTAAACAAAATATTTCATGGACACTTTTGTTCTGGAAACAATTTTATTAACAAAAATTTCATTCCTTCCATTGCCCTCAAAATACAATCAGTGAAGCATCTGCCTTAAAAAAGAGATTCCCCCAAACCACAGAATAAATATATTTGAAGATAGTGGTCAAATAAAGTTTTAACCTGAAAATAGTTCCTAATAGTCATATACATTATTACGCATACGGATATAACACCAAAATGGCTCTCTGAACGTGGCTGCCTACTAGTGCATTGATGAGAAAACTACCTGACAGACAGAGATAAAGCTCAGAAGAGAGAGTACTAAGGTCTTTGAAATTCAGTGGGAATGACGCAATGAGCTCACATTCATAAAAAGTGCTGTGAGAAGGGAGGAACAAAATGAAAGAATAAAATAAAATCTTAAATATTTCACTTTAAAGAGGGTTTTTAAAAACATACATGTATTTACCCACTAGACATACCTTGGCTGACCTAGTGATGGCCCCGATCTCTGAATAAAGATCAGTGCTGTCTGGGAACTTTTCCACCACCATAGTGCAGACGTGGTGCAGTAGGGACTGCTTATGCACTGTGTCCTTGACTTCTGGAACCTTCTCGAGGTAGCTCAACTCAAAAGCTTTGGCCTGTAAGGGAGAAAAAAGGGAAAAAATTAAAAGTAAAAATGTTTACTCCTTCCCATGCAGATTAGTAAACACAAATGATTACCAAGTAGAGGCACAGGGGAAAGAAGAATAATAATCCTACAGCAAAAGAAACTTACTGCTTTTAATTATTTTTAACTTGCCAAAGAGTAGGCCTGAAATCACTCCATCTGCAGTGAAATGACTCATGACACACTTTTCGTAATTTGAATGGGAAGCATCACTGCTAAACTCAAGGGAGTTACAGCAGAAGAGTGCCTACCTCCACATTCCTTCAGGTTATGCTGAAAGAGACAAAGAGCACCCTGACACACAATAAAAAGTAGGTTCTGTTTTCTAAATTATTTCTCTGGTACAAAATAAAAACTGGGCTGCAACTGTCATAATGGTTTTGACTTGGTTTTTGAAGGAAAATGATGGGATGTCAGGCTTACATTGGTTCCATTCAGAAAGTTCCCAATGGCTAGTAGAGTAGAAAGGATAAATCCCAAAGTTTTATTGTGCTCCAGTTGGTCCATTCCTTCCTTCAGGTCTAGAAGTGGTTCTGCAACTTCCTGCCATAAGAACAGAAACAAGAAAGTGAAGTCTGCAGTTGGCTATAGCTGCTTTAAGTTTTTAATTCTATGGTTTAGATTAATTACTGCAAAAAGTTCCTGAACTGGCGTCTTGCAGAGTGCAAACCGGCCATGTGTGCTGGCCTTCTTCCATGTCCAGCTAATAAATCACATGCAAGGACAGCAAAAAAAATACATAAAATACTTTCCTAGTGTTGCTTCTTTATGTATGCAATTACCTTACTTGTCCTGGGGATTGTTCTGTGATTCCAAACAGGAGAGAGTATCGGAGAAGGGGCTGCTGCATTTGAGTTAGGTGCATGAATATTCCCCTGCCCCAACTGATAAAAAAGCTGCTTATAACTATTTTTTCTAATCTTTGAAAAACAAACAAACAAAAAGTTTGAACCCTGGCTGCCTTGACATTTGCAGCCTGACCTAAAGCTTTCTTCAAATGATGGCCATCTCTGAGTTTTAGATATGGCTTTGTGCTTGTGTGACTTCAAAATCGAAAAAAAAAACCCAGTACAAACATCAAGCTTTACAAGTGTTCTCATTTTAGTCTTTTAACTTAATGTACCTTCCATCCACACGTTATCTGAGTATAGGTATGTAAACTGATAAGGCTTGAAAACATAAATTCTGTTCCATTACCTCAGGAAGTGAACTACACCAGAGAGTTCAAAGGAAGAGCGAGAGGGTAAT